CACCCGGCTTTCATTTTATTTAAACTGGGTCAAAGATTGCAAACCGTTTCTAAAGGATAATTCACCAGGAACATGAAAATATTTTAATATTCAGAGAAAACATGAAGATCCATCCTTTCTAACGTCAGGCGATTACTCCGTTTTCACCAGAGAAGAATTCCTGCAGCCGGTTGAAGGTTCCTGTGGTGCAACAGTGTGAGCCTGGTTGGTTTACAAGGTGGGGAAGATCATGAAGCCTGTGAAGGTGTGGCTGGTGCTGCTCTGGCTCGTAAGAAGGCCGTTGAACCTGGTTGGCACCACAGAAATCTGGTCTCCAGGATTCAGCTCCAGAACGGCTGAGCCAGACGTGACCAGGAAAGCATCAGAGCTGTCACACAGCGTCATGTGACTTTCTTCTCCCTTCATCAGCTTCACACACACCTGTGTGGTTAGAATGAACACATCGTTAGGGTTGGATGTTTAAGACGTGCCGTATTCTTCTGAAAAATCATGGGAGATGGATGCAGTGGACAGTTTGGGACGAAGGCAGAGATCTGCAGACTCACTCTGGACTTTGCTGAGATGTGGAAACTGAAGAAATAGACTCCTTTTATTGTGCAGTTAAATTTGCCATCGATCACCTTTTCTCCTTGAAACTGTGGGCCCAGCTCTGGGACGATCTCCCTGGGGGGCAGAGGTTTAATGAATTAATAAATGAATGAATGGACAAATAAATCTCACATAATCTACCTAAAAATGATCAATGTAACACATGCAAACATAATGTATAATTAGTGATATAATTGTCATCCTGTCTAATTTAGTGCTCATGGGCATCAAGATGTGAAACCTATTCAATTATATCCCTTCAAATTCCTCTAGTTCTTAACATCAACATCCCACTGGGAGGTAACGCTACGTTCACACAGAATGCGCTTTGAGCAGCAGAAGCAGCTGGTTTGCATGCAAAGTCTATGATGGACGCCAATCAAGGTGCATCAAAAGGTCCTGCATCGCGTTTAGAGCGGCTGAAGCGGCGCCTTGTAAGCTTCTGAGACGAGTGACACGCTTCACAAGCAGCAGATGCTTGAGTTGGAAAATGTTTTCTGCACGATGCACCACATCAACCAATCAGAGAAGCTGATCTGGGAGCTGGCAGGGAGTCAGACGCAGCACTGCTGATGCAGAGCGCTATGATCACTCCTCTGAAACAGTTTATTAACGCCTAAATTAACTGAAAATGTAAGAACCTGCCGGCCGGATATGATCGCTTTTATTATCCTGCTGCCTGCAGTTTGGATTATGTACCTAAAAAACGCCTTCCATTCGCCGCGGCAAACCGTGAAGAGGCGAGCGGGCCTGAGGCAGCTGCTGCTGGGGATTCCCAGTGACAGCGCACTTTACTGGACGTCTGACCTTAATGTGGATCAAAGCATCAGAAATGAAGCAGCAGGAGCTTCTTTGCTGCTGAAATCATGTGCGACGTCAACGTAGCCTAATTCAATGCCTCTTAAACAAACAGTTCTCCTCCAAACCAGAGGGTGGCAGGCTTGATATCATCCTACCATGACATTTTAAAGTTAGTATATTAACCAGAAACTGATACCATGGCTCTGTTCGAATTTATGGGCTGCGTCTACCAAGGACGCGGTCTACCTGGACTGGATCCTTCCAAGTC